TGAGGAAGAGGAAGGAGGGACGACGAAGAGGAAGGAAGACATAGCCAGGGTAAGGAGAGAAAAAAGCGGGGAAGAAGAAAGGAAGGGGAAGGAGAAGTGAGGGTGCGAGAGAGAGGAAGTGTCGGCAGCCATAGGCGAGTTGAAGGTTGACCAAGGTGTTGACCAAGGGGTTGACCGAAGTTGGTTTGGGCATTGACTCAAGCGTTAACTTGGGCGTTGACCAAGGTGTTGACCAAGGTTGACTGGAGCGTTGACCGAGGGTTGGAACAACGTTGACCAAGGGTTGGAACAACGTTGACCAGCGTTGACCAAGACGTTGACCAGGATTCTGACAAAACTGGAGCTGGTATATTCTCGCTAGACCGTCAGCCTATCCCCTCGCCCTATGGATGTGCACTCACCCTATGGTACTTGTTGAGTCTGTATGTCTCTTCTTTCTGCATTGAGTCTCTTCTGTTCAGGTGATAGGAACTCCATGTATGAAGGATAGAGCCTTGTTGACCAAACCCACACAGGCTGAGTAGGGCTAAAGGCCTTGTCTGACGACTCGACTGACCCGGAGGACACGAACCCTCCCAAGGACCGGTACTGGCCGGCGGGCTGCTCGGTGTGGCACGGTAGGCCCAAAAATCCGAGTTGTGGGCTGCACAACAGGCTGTCTAAGTTTTGAGAGGACTTGCTGATCGCGTCGTCCTGTCTGCGATGTTAAGTAATTCCTGAGTTACGGGGGATCTCCTTAAATGCCTCTTGATCAGCAACAAGTCTTGTAGTGACAGCCATAGTTTAGGGCTAGGCTAGTGACCCTAGTTGACAGAATTCCATCAGGATTCTGTGGTCCTTAGATTGAGTCCTAGGTCGAGTCAATCAGGTGCCGAGGTCTAAGTGGTGAGGTTTGGAACTATTGTCTGGTTGTGCACCTATCACCATGGTTTACCTTCACAGCGGGAAGAGCACCATGCCCTATAGCAAGGCTCAAGAGGAGCAAATCGCCGTCATCCTAAGAGAGAGGAAGGAGAAAAGGAGCTCATTAGATAGGCGAAGATGAAGATAAGAGCAGAGGAGCAGGCGGCGAAGAAGAAGAAGTTAGAGGAGGAGATGAAGAAATTGCAGCAAGAGGAGGAAGAGAGAATGAAAGCTGCAGTAGAAGAAGAGATTGAAGAGGAGGAGGAGCCGAAAGAAGAGCCCCTCCGAAGAAAAGGCATGGGGGGAAGAGGAGAGAGCAGTGGCACGAAGGAAGATGACCCCTGGGTACGAAAGAGGATATCCGAGTGGGTGGCTAATTTATCGTTAGGAGAAGATGAGGAGGCGATGCTATATATACCTCAGGAGGAGAAGGAAGCAGCGATTGGGGAGATCGAAGCAACGAGTGATCCCCCTAGAGCGCCAGGCAATAGAAAATGAGAAGAGGTTGGACTGGAAGTTGCGCCTGCCGAGAGAGAAGAAGAGGAGGATGGAGGAGGTCAACCGGGTGGCTAGGGAAGTGGAAAGTTTACAGACTTGTAGACAGGAAGGAGAGGCCCAGCCTGATATTCAGGCCAAGTTAGACAAGATTATTGGGAGCATCGAGCTCCTAGGTAGGGCCTAGACTGAGCACCATCGGTCTGTTAGGGGCCAAGACATGACGCTCCACTCCATCCGGTCGGGTTTCAAAGAATTCGCACGAGATGTGATGACTCATGTAGGGACCGAGGTTAGGAAGCTAAAGGAGGGCGCAGAGAAATTCTGCGCAGGCGCCATCGAGGGCGCCAAAGTAGCAGCCGCTGCAGAGATGGAATTGTGTCCCCGCAAAGAGCCCGTTAAGCTTAAGTTTCCTGATTCTTACCGCGGGAAGAAGGATGAGAACTTTGATAATTGGGAGGCTAGCATCAACACCTACGTGTATTTGCAACACATTGTGCCTGAGGAACAAGTCCTCGTAGCCTTCCATGCTTTAAAAGATGAAGCGGCTAGTTCTGCCAGGTCCCTCGTGCGAGCAGCCAATTGTGAAAACAATATGGTTGCGTATTCCAAACTCACCCCTCTTCACAAATTCCTTAAACTCCTTAGAGAGAGATTCGCTGACGTCAAGCGAGGCGTCAGGGCCTCTGATAAACTGCAAATGATCCACTCACGGCAGTGGAAGAGTGCAAGGGGCTGCTCCATTAATCCACTCGCGACAGTGGAAGAGCCAAGACACCAGACAATTAAGTCCACCGAGGATGGGACTAATTGGGTGGTTATGGCTGGCAGCAAACAAGTACCAGTCCGGAAAAGCACCAGACAGTTAAGTCCACCGAGGTGTACCAGCTGCAATCCTACAATCCCTACCAGCCTCAAATTTATCCCTCCAAGCCTCTTACCTTTCTGTCCTTTGGTCCAAAGTTCAGCTCTAGTGTCCCCAGATAGACAGGTAAGTCCCTCCGCCGTGACACTCAGACTGGAACACCGTGGTGCACACGGTCGTAGCCACATGCCACATGCATCGAGACAACACAGACAACTTCACAAAATTGTGAATAAGAACACAATCACACAGTCCTCAGACAAAATACGCATGCCTAGGATAGAACTCCGAAAAGCAGCAATTCTGCGAAGAATCTACAAAACATGGATGCCTCATATAGATCTCCGAAAAGCAGCATTTCTGAGACGACTCTCAGCGAAAATCTCAGACATCAGGTTCCGAAATCTTCAGCGAGCTCGTTGCAATCAGATTCTCAAATCTTCATTGCAATCAGATTCTCAAATCTTCAATCAGATTCTCAAATCTTCTGCGAGGTCGTTGCATGATATAAGATCAGAATCAGAATCAGAATCCGAATCAGAATCAGAAGAAGATCCAAGCGATCTGGATCTGTTCAGCAGGTGGTACCCAACCCCCCCTCCCCCCTTCCCTTTGTAGATGTAGTTTGTATGATGGTGGAATGGGAAGGAGGGAAGAGCAATCTCCTCCAAAGCGTGTCGTACAATACTCCACAACCTTCCGTACCGTATATCCACTTTCAGGTTCACCCTCACTGCACCTCCACAATCTGGCTGCAGGTAACAAGACCTTAGGACAAAGCTAGACACTTCTCCCAACCCCCGTCACAGGAAAGCGTAGGGGCCTGCTCACACCCTTCCCCCCTCACCCTTCCACGCCCCATCCCCTCCCCTTTCACAAGATGGTACCTGAACCCGAAAGAGATAGCACCGGGAATAAATCAGCTCCGGCTACAAAACAAATGTTTTGTATTACCCGGGCCAGGCACAGAAACCAATCACACGAAGTCGGAACCAAGTATCCATCCCATCACTCAGAAAACAACTTTTCCAGTGGCCGGTGCCAACGAATACAAAACCTGCAAAGAAACAAGCACCAAAGCTGTGACGGTCAGTGGTTGTCACAGTTCGCACAACTGGCCCGCTTTCTCTCTCTCTCTCTCTCTCTCTCTCTCTCTCTCTCTCTCTCTCTCTCTCTCTCTCTCTCATGTGTGCGCACAAATGTCTCTCCCCCCCCCCCCCCCCC